ACCCGTGTTTCGAGCGTCGTCGAACGAATTTTCGTGTTTCTGTTTCGGCGAAAGGGGAGCACTAACCCGACCGTCGGCAAGGACGAGTGCTTGAGGCGCCGTCGAAGAAAAACAATAAAACGAGAATTGGCACGTCTGGCGAAACAGTTGACTGCCGTAAAGTCAACTGGCTGACTTGTCCGCTCGTGCATCCTCGCAATATCTCGCGTTACGAGCGACATTTCGCCGCGGCGTTTTCTGCCCCGCGTCCTCGACGGCCTCGCAACACGAGCACCGGGGCGATAACGCGTCAAAATATTTACCGGGGCCCATTACTTGTTAGAAAATTTATTAAGCCACCGCGCCAACTTAATTAACCGGATAAGCGAAAAAAAACGAGAAACAACGGGCGAAGGTCGTCTGGCGTGAATTTTCGTTTTCTTCGTTTGGTAAACACGACCGATAAAATCGCGCGGAGAATTCGCGCGAACACAGTTGACGGAAAGGAATAATTGAAACGTGCGCGAATTTCAGCGTCTCCGGTCGACGAAGCGTGCCAGGAGTTTGATAAACTCGACGAAAGATACAGCGAATTCGGAATCGTTTAATCAACGCCGCACGTTTTCCCGAGAATACACGCGCGTCCTCGCTGCTAAACGCGTCGTTACTCCGATTCGGTATAGTAACCGTTCGCGTAAAGAGGGTCACGGGAAACGCTGATGCTCGGTATCTCCGAACATTGATACCGATTCTTAAGGTTCGTCCGTAATTTCTTCGCGGACGAAGGAAGCTTCTTCTATAGTAGGTCAACGAGCAGTGGCAATAATATAAACGAGATAGAGGAGAATAGCATCGCGGCATACTTTCATCGCGGAAGCAATTGTTCGTGAAAGATTTATCGTAGATTTATCGTTTCGCTGTCCGTTCCTGCTCCCGATCGAGCGGCGCTGACAGATCGATACGCCTGGCGCCGATCGAACGAATAAATTTTTCCTTGGCACCCTTTCGATTCATGCGCCTGGCGAATAAAAGATAACCTTCTCGATTCTACACAATGGAACGCGTATCGCGGGTATACATAAACAAAATAAAAATAAGGTCGTTGTTTTGTTCTTGAAAAGACGGATAATTTTTACGTAACGCTCGTTGAATGCTCTCTCGTCGGTGTAGAAATTGCGTTTCAATTATTTCTGATCGTTATAATTTACTTACGTTTCGTTTCCGCAGGCTCCGGAATGATGCTCAGCGTCGCAGCAGAGATCGTCGAGAAACTTCGAAACTTTGACCGCGTCGATTCTCTACTCGATATTGTTAACCTGATATCGTCAACACTAGAACTACCGAAATGGTAACAATGACCAAAATGACCATTCATAATTCCGAATGAAAATTACGAAATTAATAGTCGACTGGATATTTGAAAATTGATCGTACTTTTCTATAAGAAAATGGATAAAAAATTTTCATTGCATTCTACGTTTCTTCGGTAATAAAAATTTTTAAATTAATACTCGATTGGATTTTTACAAATTTATCGTATTTTTCTATAAGAGAACGGATAAATATTTATTTTCATTGCATTATATAGGGTGTTCGGCCACTCCTGACAAAAATTGTAATGAGAAATTCTGAAGGCCAAAATAAGACGAAAATCAAGGATACTAATTTGTTGATTGAGGCTTCCTTAAAAAGTTATAGAAACATTTCCGGCTACACAGTATATTTTCGGTAAAGAATTTTTTTCTCGAAAGTGTGAAGGCTTTCGGGGGTATATGTATTCACCAAAGATGATTGTAATTGATCCCCGGAACCGAAAATAATTTTTCCAGAACGATTTAAAATTTTTTAATTTTTTCGGCACCATGTCGATTTTTCTTAAAAATTCGTTTTTCATTTTTAGTAAATTTGTTTGATGTCCTACAGAAATTTTGTTTAGTACTTTTTTGTAGGTATCCATGAGCTCTCTTTCCATAGTAAATTTCATTGAGATGCGTTCACTATTATAGAAGTTATGGACGTTTGAAGATTGAGCCATTTTTATGAGGTTTTTCTCATTCCACGCTGTTGAGGAACAACTTTTCGTTTATTCTTGGAATTTCTACATATTCTTCACTACAATACGCGTTGTTTCCTTTTTGAAACATTAAAATCCTCTAATCCGTTCAGAAGTTATGATATTTTAAACATTTACATGAAATTTCAAGTAAGCATTTCGGGCCAAAAATCATATTTTCGGTAAAGAATTTTTTTTCTCGAAAGTGCGTAGGATATCGAGGGTATGTCTGTTCACCAAAAATTATGATAATTGACTCCCGCAACTGAAAATAATATTTCCGTGAATGATTTGAAATTTTGTAATTTAATTTTTTATTAACTTTTTAACAAAGCCTTAATCAACAGATTGATATTCTTGATTTTCGTCTTATTTTGGCCTCTAGATTCTCCCATTAAAAGTTTTTCCAAGGATGGCCGAACACCCTGTATATTTCTTCGGGAATAAAAATTGCAATATTGATACTCAACTGAATTTTTTTAAATTTAACGTACTTTTCTATACGAGAATGAATAAACATTTGTTTCCATTGCATTATACGTTTCTTCCGGAATAAAAATTGTAAAATTAATACTCGATTGGATTTTTGAAAATTTACCCCAATTTTCTATAAGAAAACGAATAAACATTTATTCCTATTTCATTATACATTTCTTCTGGAATAAAAATTGTAAAATTAATTCTCAACTAGATTTTTGAAAATTCACCCATATTTTCTAGAAGAGAATGAATAAACATTTATTTCCATTGAATTATACATTTCTTCAGACATCTATCGTTTTAATTTCTTTAAAACAAATAAATACACCATAGCCGGTGGTTCTAGTGTTAAACATAATTGGGAAAAATAAGTGTTTGTTATTGTTTTACAGCTCCAGTAACAACCACGTTGTTTCGTTACAGTCTAACAACAGTTTCTTCATTTATAACACAAACACTACCGATTGCAAATATCGAAACATACGACACCGTGTACACGCAACATGTTCCGTGCTCTGATTTTGAGAATTTTAGTCGAATTTTGAACAACCGTCGCGAACGATTCCCGAGAGGCAACTGAGTGCCTGGGATCGCCAAAATATAGACTGTTATTCAACAGGTAACCCAGACAACCGTCTGTATTTACTGTCTAAGGATTAGGCTCGAGGATAAAGCAACTTTAAATAAGTTACAACGATTCACTTTCCGTTAAATTTCATTATGTCCGATAAGGCAAGGTCAAACGATTCTCTCGAATCTTAAATATTTCGTCGTCGATCGAACAACAAGTGACGTTTATTTACGCATTTTTTATCTAGCCTCGAGCATTTGTTTATCAGCGGATGCGTTTCTACCCTTTAAAAATTGCACAAGCCGTAATATCAAAATTTTAAACGTCCGCGAATAACAGTGAAATCAATAACCTGATGGTTTTTCACAGGCAAAAAGATTTAAAATAACAAACAACCATTAATCTAATCTAACACTTCATACTAACAAAGTATTAATTATCATTGACTATACTTATATACTTTTTGGCATCTTAAATGTGTTTGACATATTGAACTTACATTTTTTCTTTGTTTTGCTCTTATTCACTGATATTGCAAGTTTCGATAGTACACTTGTATAATACTTTTATGATATCGAAATGGGCCCAAAACACCATTTGCTCGAAATGTTTATATCGATTATAATAAAAGGTTAAACTTGTTTATGGGATTATTACGCGTCACTTATTTATTACGTATGATATTGTGAAAAAATTGAATCGATTTACTGGACCCAAAGTTCGTAATGACTGATTATACGCGGAAATGACGAAGCAAAGTGATCGCGTACGCACGAATACGCATAGAGCTGCAGAGGCGGAGGAACATGGAAGAGGGAGAAAGAAGCAGCTATGTATATCCCCTAGAGTGGCGGGATGGCTCTAATCGGGCCCTGCACTCCGATTAATGACTCGTTAAAATGAAGCCGTACATTGTAGATAAATTGACAAATGCGCAAGACGCATGTGAGGGGCAATAGTTCTTGGTCAAACGTAGCAAACAAGCACACCGCGTATTCCATGGTGCGTGTAACGAGTGTCATTATATTAAGATAGCTACATAGGATTTTCATGGAACTCGATTGAACCGACCAATCGACGACATTCGAAACAGTAGTTCATTTGTAATCGGTTCTCCGCGATAACATTGCATCGAATCGAACCGTACAAAATTCTTTCTAGATTCCGTTCGATTTTTATCATCGCGCGCGAGGAAGTTTCGATCGTCGATGGGTCGCTGTGGACAATTCGCGTTACAGCGTATTCGCGAGTGAAATCGATTTGATTGAAATTTTTTTAAACGAATAAGAATCGTACGTACGAAAAGATACTTATTTTTACTTTGAGCTTATTTAACTTTGACCTGTGATAAAAATTAAAAATACTGGTATCTGTATGCATTTGTTGTTCACGAAAATAGAGGATATGCAATGCGAACGAACGGTTTCTCGTGCTCGTTTCACGCGTCTCTTCGTTACCCGGGAACGAAAGAATTTACTCTTCGTGAATCGTATTACTTTTTACCTTTAAATATTCCGAAATATTCTTCTCGCGTTCGTTAAACTTTCGCGTATCAATCGTAACTCAGCTGACAAACAAAAATAAATCGCGGAACAATAATCGTTCCGTGGCCCCGAAAGTTTATCGCGGTAAGTCGTCACCGTGAATTTCGTTGTGATTATAGGAGAAAACAAAGCACGATTCAATAATGTGCATCGAGCATCCGCGTCAATAAAAACAGTCGAAAATTTCTGCGTGACCATTTTTCCGTTCGGCCTCGTACGAAAGAAAAGAAAACGCCATCGTCGAAAAAAGAGAAATAAATCGAAACACCTTTCATCGAAAAACCATTTATTTCAGCGAATAAATATTCTATGAATACTCTCTACCTAGGAAGTACACATTATATATATAAGTATGCAGTATTCGCCGCCCTCGTTTGGATACTGGGAGTACACAATTCCATTACTTTTTAATTATAGGTACACTGACAAACAAACGAAGAAATGAGAATCAGGCGAGGAGAGAAAGTAGCAGTCACATAGGTGGAGCGATGAAGAATAGAAGGAGGGGGGAGGGGAGTAGAAAAATAGGGTACGCGGGCGATGGGAGGTTTAAAAATAGGGAAGGAGAAGAACACCAATTTTTTAAGAAGATTTCTCTATCTTACGGCGTACAGGTCGCTTCGAACGAAATGAAAAAAAAAAATACAAACTGCAAGGATGCTTTATTTTTACTCTCCTTCCGTGCTCGCGCGTGAAAAAAAAATGAAAAATGATGTGCAGATGAACGTTTCGCGGCGATATCTCGCAGAAATTGAGCCGCGGGTGCGAGTGATTGGAAAATTCGAAGCTCGCGAAGGGAGAAACATGAAAGGAGTTTTTCGATCGACTAATCCTAACGTTGTAAAATGTCTACGTTTACTCTAGACGAAAAAAAAAAAGAATCACAGGAAAACGTTTCTATCCGTACAAGAGTTACGAAAAAGTTCTGAGGTTCCGTGAGTACTCGAAGATACAAAAAGTCTAAAAATCTTCCGAATACTGGGACGCTCTCTCGGTCGGCGTAGTTTAGGGCCAAGCAACTAGATATCACAACGATACTACCATAATTTACCGAATCACAAACAGACGTGGTTGAAAAACAACGTCGTCGAACTTCGTCGTCCTTCCGGAAATCGTGTTCTTCGATCGTGAGCGACGAAGGACAAAAGTTGGCCACGATATACATACATATATAAATTATAATTGCCACTGATGCGCTCCGTCGACGGTCTAGCTACCGATACATGTGTGGAAATTTGTTCTCTCGCCAGACACAAAATTCGTACTAATTCGATCGACTGTGTCGGGACACAGCGTTAATTCGTGTTTCCGAGTGCGATTGGCCGGGTGATACAGAGCTCGTATCTACAAACGTACCTAAAGATATACATAATCGCGTTAGAAAAAAAGAAAATCAAGACACGTTCGCCTATATTGTATAAGTAACGTACTCGTGGATCCTTCGAATTAAAGACTCGTCAAGATTCGTAGGAGAAGCGACATAGAACGGCAGCTTAGGTACGACATATTTACACAAACCTCACACGCACTCTCGAACACGCACTCACATGCTTCGCTAAAAAAAAGAAGGAGAAACAAGAAAAGGAAAGTATGTATACGTATGTATATGTAAAGAGAGACAGTGAGATAGACAAGGGTGGGGGTATGAACGAGATCGTATAAGAAACGAAAAATGGAGAACATTGAAAAACAACGATTTCACTGTACACCGAGATCTTTTGGCCAACACGTTTTCACCGATCAACGCGACGACTCTGCCGGAAACGAATCGCTTTTTCTTTGTATCCTCGTTTAGATTTTTTCTTTTTCTCTCTCTCTCTCTCTCTCTCTTTCTCTTTCTCTCTCTCTCTCTCTCTCTCTCTCACACTCTCTCTCTCTCTCACTCTCTCTCTCTCTCTTTTGGAAAGGCATCGATGTGCAAGGGGCAAACTGTTAATAAAATGCTTTCGATTCTGCACGTCCGCGTGCAAATTCTATCGTCGACAAAGTCGGATTATCAAAAAATGATCACCAGAGAGATTTTCAAAAATGTAACAAGCTCCCGTATAAAAAATAATTCTTTCGTGGTCGTTCTCTTAGATCAGGTGCAAACGCATCGACACCTTAAAAATAATACCGTGACTCTAGGAACTATCCGCCTTGCCATGAACCATGGACCAGTATCGAGGTGCCTGTCGTGTTAACTCGTCGGAAAGCGTCTTAGTCGAACTTCCGATCCGTCCCTTCTGCTGCGTTCGTTATCCGGACGAAAATGTTCGTCCTTCGTGTCTCCAAGAGGGAGTATCGCGGCACCAACACATCCCAAACAAGGCACTTTCAGTCTATCGAATGAGGAATCGTCGAGAATAGAACGACGACGAAGACGAAGATCAACGATCAACGTAATCGAAAGTCCTTCGAAGAGTACAAAAAAAAAATTTAACCGTACACGATTATCGCGTATCGTGAAACTGGTCGAACGGCATCCTCGACATCCTCCTCGTCGTCGTTGCTCCCCGTCGAGCCGGAAGGTGGACTATGAGCATCCACATCTTTCGACGACCATCCCTGGTAACCGCGAGAACACGATCTGGTACTCGTTGTCAAAGTATAGCATCGTGATCTCGGAGAGTTTCCTCGGGGCGCAACACGGACCAGTGTTGTTAGGCGGTTCCGCCAGGCTGATGATGTGGGTGTTCGGATAGGCCTGCAGAAAGGCCATTGGACAGTCGCCCGAACAGTAATTGGCGTCGTACCTGAGACACAAAATCGTAACGTGTCTATTACGCATTACCAGACCTAAATAAGCGGTAGAACTCTAATAATCCAGCATCGACAGGAACTCGAGTTAGACATCGGCCATGCAATAACAGATTTACTTAAGTAGACAATGATTTTTTGGGCAGATACCAAATTATCACAGTTCTACCTCGATTCGTTCCTAATTAACCACATGTTTGTTAACTTAAACACACATCAAGCGTACCGACTATAAAATAGCACTCGAATCATCGCGATCGTTGCGCGTACACTACCGGTCATAAGTATTACGTTGTCCCATAAGTTCGTGCAGTTGGATATTCTGAAATTGGCGTGGATAATATTTGTAATTTAATAAGAAAGAAACAAAATTTGTCAGCTTAGGAGATTTCGGAAACTTTGAACATACTAACATCAACGAATCATAGAAATTTGAAAAAAATAAATATTGTCCAGACTATCTTACAGAACGAAATTTTCTTGATTGCATAAATATTTATGTTAGGATATAATAAAACTGAACCTAATAAGAAATAAAATACAACAATCTCGACGCATATTAGAGGGTAAACAATTTGAAAATGTTAACGTTTTAATGAAAAGCATCGAATTATATCTCAATAAAAAATAAAAAAAACTTTGTAGCGATGGTATAATAGCTTTACCAAAGGAAAGGGAGTTGTTGAATGAGAAGAGGTTTACTATTTTTCATAAAATTCCATTATATGTTTATAATATTGCTTTAAGTTGTAGTATAAAACACGGTACGAATATATAGGATGATCTAATATTATGACAGTTGACTGAAACGTTGTTAATATTCGGATTATTCTAACTTCGAGAAAAGGAGTCTTACAATAGTGTTCTTAAGCAACTAAAACTACCATAAATTCAAAGATTAAAACCTCCCTTTTTACAACAACCCCCTTAAAAAATTGATTAATTGTTTTAGTATTTTATTCCACTTTGATTGAGTCGTCGATATAGGAGTACTCAATGGTCATAAGTATTGGAACACATATGTTTTATTCATTCAAAGTGACACGTTTATTATTACTAATTAATTATTGATTCTAATTTAATAATAGTAGAGCGAAATTGCAACTTTGGAATATGAAAACAACGATAATAAACTATATCTAGGCAAAAACACATGATAGAATTGCTTATTTTAAATATTGGAATTTGATTTTAAATACAAATAGTCACTAGAGTGCACTGCGTATAAAATATCTATCATAAATTATATTGAGATTAACAAATGTCTAATTTTACCAACTTATTAGAACCATATTTAGCATAAGCTTACACGATTGTAACCAAGATATTGTACTTAACATGACAAATAAAGTGGGGAATGGAATTAGACACAGGGACGAAATTCGGGCTCTTTACTTTATTTAATAACGTTTAAAATAAACGTTATGCAATAATAAACAAGTAGAAAATAAGTTGATCTCAAAAGCAAAATGTGATAAGATCTTTATAGTAATTATATTAGTCATAAGAAAGCTGAAGAAAATGTCAGACAATAGACGAAATATCTGCTTGTTAAATTTAAATAGCCACAAAATTTTGTTTATAGTTATTTTTATAACAGATTGCAAATATACTTGAAAATTAAGAAAAAAAAAAATTATTGAAAGTATCTAGAAACTCTGTTAAAAGAGAATTAAGAGTTGCACATCCCTCCTCTAATGTGACCAAATTTCCTTAGGAATATAGTTGAGTGACAAGGTGTATGGATTAGGTCAATTGTTTTGAAGAACAAGTTCAGCGGAAAAAGTATAAAAAGTTCTACGACCAGTTTTTCTGTAGTTTAAAATTAACAAATGAGCACTTCAATTTACGATAATGTGTCGATATACATATACAGTTGTAGTGCAGTTAATTAACTATTAAATTAAAATAACTTAAACAAAAATTAAATTTTTAAACTGAAAGTTTTACTGTGATTCGTCTACGTGATATTTAATAGAAATGTGTATAAATATTTCGATTTGATAATTCGTTCACAAAAAAATTTGTTTGTTACTCAAAAACGGAGATTAGAAATTGGGAAATAAATTTTTACATAATTCAAATCAGTGTAAAAAATACTATAAAAATGGTTCCACTTTCAAAGCACACGCAACAGTTACTTGTGCCTACGTGGAAGCAAGATTTCGTTAACGGGGTATTTTAATGTGACCTTTTGGAAAAAACGATTTCTTTTTTTATATTTTCTTAAAAATATCATTTGAAAAATATATCTGCAAAACCTTATGACTGAATTCCTAAAATTAACGAGGTTATGATTGTTTAAAGGACACAATGGTCAATATCATGGGGATACAAAACTTTAAAAGCGTTTTTCACGAAACTACGTTTACCAGAACAGAGTCCATGATATCTTAAAATCTACTTGACCAATTGACGTAAAATTTTAGGTGCACATTTAATACACATGTGACTATAGTTCACACTACAATAAATCCAAAATTTTTGTTTTATCTTCCTATAGGCCTCCGGAATTAAAAGAAAAACATGACAAAATCGATAACCAAACTTTAAAGTGTTGCCATTCTTTTACATATCAACTTTTCCTTTATTCTAATACCTGATATAGTCCAATTCATGCTAATAAAGAATCTTTCACATTTTTCATTTCAAACAAACAGGATGGCCAGAATTGTGAACATCGTGAGACGATCTTTTTTAAAAGCAACTATGTTTGACTATGTTTGGAATATGCAGTGCCAGCAATTTTAACTTTTCTTCACCCAACAAATTTTAAAATGTCACTCAAACATGTATAAACAAACCTTATAAATTTGACTATAAAAGGTGTTATTAGTTTATTCGTACAAAATTCCTCAAGAAAGTATAAAAAAATACACTTCACACTTAAATACCTTAATTATTTTCAAGGTAAACAAAAGTTTATTTTACTATGTTTAAGAGTATGCAGTGCCAGCAATTTTAACTTTCCTTCTCCCAAAAAATTGTATAAATAAACCTTTCCCCAAAATAATGTATATTTTATGTATAAATAAAAATTCCCCAAGATAGTTTGAAAAAAAGCATTTGACGCCAGAATACCTCGTAAATATTTACATTACATGGGAAGATTAGGCATGCGTGACTAACGTCAGAGAGATACTTACTTTTTGGGCGCGATTATCCAGTCCCAGCCAAATTTCTCGAAGTCCACGGTGAGTTTATATCGACAGCACCTGGTCTCCTGGCTGGCTTCGTCGCAATTAAGTCCTACGTTTCTTTTGATCCTCGCCCCCCTTCTGGAGTCGAGCTCTTGCGTCTGCACCTCGAGGTACGGCGCGTATTCCGCCCCAGGATTGGTCTCGACTAATTTAGAATTCCTACGATGATTTCCACCGGGGCCGGATATCTTCAAGGCTACTCCCAAATTGTCCCTCGGGTGCTTAAACCATTCGGCCACCATTCTTCTCAGCTCGATCGTCACCCAGTTACCCCGTCGACCGATAGGTCGAGGGTGTTTGGTGGTCAACGCCGGACCCAGCAACGGACCGCCGGTCTCGGTGACACCGCGAAGGATCCTTTGCAACGTGATCGTCACTGGACCGTCTTCGTGACTCTCGGAGCTCTCCGCGTCCCCCGGTTCGTCCAGTTCACCGGCATCCTGGCCGGTACCCCATATCCACAAGGACAGCTCCGCCCTGGTCACGCGATGCTGAACCACCTTGTCGGAGAATTTGAAGTAGAGAACGTCGAGGCTGCCCTTCGAGTGCCTCAGCCTCTGATCTGTAACCGAGACAGACGGGATTCGTTGAATCCGACATGCTAACACGGGCAGCCATCGAACCCGGGTTCGAACGATTCGACGACAAGTAGGAGAAGAGAGAAATCGATGGGTAAAAATCTCGTGGCATCGAGGATCGATGACGGACAAGAGATCCCTACAATCTGCTATACCGCGGCGGCATCTTCGTGCTTCACGATTGGCAATAAATCAAGAACAACCGGAGAGAAGTAGCCGTCGAGTTTCTTGCTGCCCAAGAGAACCGCGAAGTCGTCGTTGGTTCAGCTCGGCGCACGTGCGTCCGAGATTTACCCCGACGACCACGACCACGACCACCGTTCAACCCGACCTACGTCGTCGCGATCGGCACGGGGATCGGCAAGGGAACAGAGAGACAAGAGAGAGAGGTGGAAAAACAGCCAAGCAGATTTATATACGCGTAGCGAAGCACGTTAGCCCCGGCTCTATTCAGGCCATCGCTCGCTGAGACCGCTTCCATGAAGGGTAAAGCTACCTCAAATCGTACCGTTACGCGGACTACTACGTTTTTCCTTCGACGATCAATCAGCGGCCACCGCGCGCGCGGATCGATCGATCGATTGACCTCCAGATCGCGACTTTGTCCTCTCTTCTAAACAGACTCGTCCCGGTATTCGACTGGACTCAACGACTTCTTTGAACTCGTCGGTACCGACGGGCGTTCCTTTTCCAGAGACCAAATGTCGCGCGACTCTTTTTTCGTCTCGACTACCGAGATTTTCGCTGAACACGACAGTGTCCGTAATTGATCGCGTAATATGAGGACAATTTACACACTGAACGCCCGGCGATAGAACGCGCCACGTACCATCTGCAGCATCGTTCGCGTTCGCGTTCGCGTTCGCATTCGCGTTCCCGTTCCCGTCGACTAATTGCCCGCGATCCTGCGAGGGAAAGCTCGTTTAATTATTACGCTACACCGCGTCGCGCGCGAATATCGTTTGTTCGAATTCAAACGTCGGTATCGTTATCACTGTCACTGTCACGCTGCCTGTGCATCACGTACACGTCTTATTTCCGGCGACTTCCCGAGATAATTACTTATCGGAGGCTACCCTCCCCTTTCCTCCCGCGACCCGACGCGACGTCCCGAATCCTTGCGATTTCTGCTTCGATTCTCACGTTCGAAGATCCACCATGGGGACAATTACCCAAATTTACTCGTTTAAATCCATTTATCGCGGCTAATCGCGTCAATTATCCGGGATATCGCGTCGCGGCCGTCTTTCTTCGTTTGTTTTCCCGAAAATTCCAGTCAGGTCAGACTCGCGTTAATCAATTTACGGAATGTGCCGGTTCGCGTTCGCGTGGCTGTCGGTCGATAATCAATTTAAAGAAGACAAACTTAATCGAATTAACCGCCGCGAGCTTTACCTTCTTGTTCGCTCGACTTCGCCGTGGCTTTTCACGATCTTCAGCTAATTTGCCGTGAAAACTGCTTCCTCCCGCCCGGTATCGGCGAAACGTGAAACGCGGAGTCGTAGGAACGCGAACGATAAAGCAAACGGTGCCGATAAAAACGTTTGTAGGAACCCAGGGATAAGCAGTCGTAGATTTATAATTATTTCATTAACGGGGTATTGCTGTCTAGACTGTCACTTTTCGGCCTTATTTGTGATTTTTTTTTAATGACAGGTAGGCTGATTTGTGTTGAAATTTTAGCGGATATACTTATTGATCTTGTAAATAGGTACAGTATTTTTTTCATGAAAAAATATTAAAAATTGTGGGAGTTATAATTTTTTGTTTAAAGAAACGCATTTAAGCTGGCTTTCATTCCAAGCTGGCTTTTTTGTAATTTTTTTTAAATAATAGGTAGGCTGTTTCGTGCTGAGATTTTGCAGATATATTTATTCGCCGTATAAGTATCTACAGTACTTTTTTCATACAAAAATATTAAAAATTGTGGGAGTTATAACTTTTTGTTGAAATGCGTTCTTTGAAACTAACTTCCACGATATTTCAATGATTGAAGACCGATCGTCTTCAAATTTGTAGAGAATATTCAGCAGACACGCTATTATCGCTGGAATTAGAGATTTTAAAAAATATTGAGTTTCACTATTTTTTTTGACATGCTAAAGACAATAGAAAGGTTGAAAAATAGAAATTCGAAACTTGAAGTGCCGCCATTCCTTTATTTATGAGAATTTTGACTTCTCCCTGGTTTCTGCTATAACTACATCCTTTCTAATAAAGATACTTTAACCCCCTCTGTTTCAGATTAGCGTATCGGCAGGAATCATGAAAGCCAGTGGAGCAACTTTTTCAGAATTATTAAACAAGAAGTTATAACTCCCACAATTTTTAATATTTTTGTATGAAAAAAATACTGCACAAGCTTATAAGATGAATAATTATATCTACAAATGCATTTTAAATGCGTTTTTTTAAACAAAAAGTTATAACACCCGCAGTTTTTAATATTTTTTTATGAAAAAAATACTGCACAAGCTTATAAGATGAATAATTATATCTACAAATGCATTTTAAATGCGTTTTTTTAAACAAAAAGTTATAACACCCGCAATATTTAATATTTTTTTATGAAAACAATACTGTACAAGCTTATAAGATAAATATATCCTCAAAATCTCAATTAAAAGTAGCCTACCTACCATTAAAAAAAATCACAAAAAAGGGGCGAAAGAATTAATCTAGACTACTCTCAATAAAATTGATGAAAGGGTTTAATTGTATGGCTGATTGCCTAATGGGACGTTCAGTCTCTTCCCGTCAATTTACAGACAGTTCTCTGTATTCGCGGGTGAAAACACGAGGTGAGTTAGAGGCGCGTCGAAAAGCACGGATAGAAAGAACGGCGAGACAGAAAAATGGCAACTTTATTTTCGTCCAGACACGGCTACCGACCGTCTGGCGCGAGATCTTTGAATCCGTATTTAACACCGGGACCAGGAAAACCACCGCATCTGGATTCGAAAAGGAAAGAAGAAAACGAAGAACGTCTGGTTTCGTTTAGGAGGAGAAGGATCCTCGATGATAAACGACGCGTCATCGCAAACGATCTCAATAACAGTTATTATCCAGCGAGAAGCAACAGTCGAAACGCAGCCAGAGTGATTCACGGATCCTGTTGTCTCCCGGGTGCATCTTTGTTCCCAGAATTCCGTCCTCTGACGCGCCTCCGAAGCGGACTTAGCCGGCTCGAAACACGTGGCGGTGCAACGCGCGGATTTTAAATCCGGTGACGAGAGCAGACACAAATAAATGCGTAGAGCGAGCGCGACAGAGGAAGAAAGAGGCTGGCCGCGAACGAAAAAGAGAGGAAAAAAAAGGCCTCCTGTCGGAGGACAGGAGAGAGAGACAATAAAGCTAAAGCACACCAACAAGTACATCGTGCTTCGCCGCGTAGAGATAAATATAGTTTTAGCGAACGGAGGTCACTCGCATTGCTCGACCATACTGCAGAAACGTTTTCTAGTTTCTCGTCATATGATTTTTCGACCGCCGCGGCGCGACTCGCGTTTGAAAAATTACACCGATCCACGGTCAGAATATTACTAGCTATTTTACTCGATCGGTGCGTTAGGTACGCGCGGAGGGCGAGGTAAAATTTAAAGGTAAAAGCAGAATACTCGAGGATACGTGCTCGAATCGAAAACCCATCGTCCAAAAAAATGTTTTGTGACAAACGTGTCTCGCGAAAGAGTGGACTCGATCATCCCGCTCGAACGATTTATTCGAAATTAAAAGGGCGGAATGAAAACTCGCATGTACCTCGAGCGGATCGAGGAATACGAGGGAAAACGAAGACGGGTGGTCTCAGCGAGTGGAAATGATGGAAAACAACGGTGATACCGCGGTGTCGTGGCCCTGCCTATAAATAAATGAAGAAATAATTGATACGGAACGACCCTCCTGTCCCCCCGTCCCGTCCACCGTATCCTCGATTGCACTTTTCGCCGCTATCATCCGGTTCTTTCACTCTTCGCCGCAGCCGCCGCCGCTCTAAGGGCGACGACGTTTAAAAATATCGCGCGACAAATCGTCTACCAACGGCACATGACACGGCACGGCTAAACGCGTGTCCGACTAACTCGTCGAAATTTAACACCGAAATCACCGAGACACGATACGCGCAGGTATACCTATCGTACAGATCGGATACGCGGGTACGAGTCTCGAAATTTCAAAACACGGTTGTACCTTGGCGCGAAATACCGGGTTTCCGGCGACGAGAAACGTCTGCCAGGCTATCGGAGGAAAAGATATCGCCGTGGAATTCGAGCGATAAGAATTTTCAAAGCGTTCTGTAACAAGCTCGCGAAGAGAAAAAATAATTTTAAACGCGCCGAAGATAAGAAGCGGAAAGCGAGGAATTCGCAGTGATCGATGAACCGAGAAGGGTCAGGCGAGAGATTCGAAGGAACGAAAGCAAGGTAGACTTGTCTATCCATCGAGTACGATCGCGAGGAGACAAGGAAGGTAGGAACTTTGCGTGAGCCTAGCTGTACCTACACCTACCCACGAAGAGCGTTGAACCCCGAAATTAATGTTGTAATGCACTCCCGTATCTCCGTCTCGGCTCATCCCACCCTGTCCCGTCTCTCGTTCAGTCGAAACTCGCTCGATAATGTACCCTCTGACTTCGACTTGGGAATACTTAATTGCGCCAACAATCCTCAGCTCGAATACCTGCCGAGGTGAACGACCGATCGCGAATCTCTCACACAAAGGACACGAAAAACTCTTTTCGAATATCAGTTTTTCTCTCGCGATGAATATTCGTGGAAAACGATGGTCGTTTCGAAATTCCCCCCCTCGGTCGCTGAGAATCGTATCGCGAGTGTCGAAACCTGACGGATCGAAGGTGTTTAAATCTCAATACAAACAAGATATCGAACGTCGATCGCTGTTTCTCTGCGATCCTTAAACCTAAACGAGATAGCGAATATTCGTGATCGTAAAACGAATTGGACAATCCACGTAAAAAGTAAGGAGG